TTTTTTTTACAAAGTTTTAAATTTATTTATAAACAAATTTGGAAAATTTAAAACTTTTAAGAAAACGCAATTGGCGCGCGGGATTGTTGTGGAGTAGACAATAATTGCTCCACACATCACATTGACAAATCTAATAAATATGAATTGATTTATTATTGTTAATTATAATTATTATTAATTTTTTAAAAATTTATTTATTTAAACCAATTATTATATTTTTTTCCAATATGTATAATTGAGCTAAAATTTTCCAAAGCAGTGTTACACATATTATTATGTGTAGTATTACGTATTACACATACGCATTTATTACATCAAGTCTATAAGAGTAAAAAATTGTTTATATATCATAACAAAAGGTTTTATAATAAAAATAATTCAATAAAAATAAAAAATATTTCGATTATCAGGTATGAAAAATCTTCTTTCAAACATATTCGATAAAATATAAATAATATGTTTTGTTAAAAGTTTAAAATTTAAAAATTTTTTTTATAAACAAATTTAAAACTTCTTAAAAAATTTACTTATCTTATAATAAATAAATGTCTCATTAGAATTTTTCTCTATCATAAAATTCCCTGCAAACTTTTTGTCGACGCATATAGAAAAACTTTATTTCTGACAGGTATTTACATATATTTAAAAATTCTTGAACAATTAACGTTTTCTTTAATTTTTATTAGCTAACCTATTTGCTTCAGAAAAAAAATTAAAGAAAAAATAAATAAAAAAAAAAAATAATAATAATAATTCTTGTTAACGCAGCTGGCAAGTTCATCGATCTAGCTTACCAGCTATGAACTTAGTTCTGTATGAACTAAAAAGACTAAAGAAAAAAAATAAAAAGAATGGAAGTATTTTATAACATTTCTATATGGGACTGCGTCTGAGAAAAGGGTGTTTATGACCAAAAAAATCGAATTTTTATTTATAATGCATTCTTATAGTAAACCGCCTAAGATATGTAATACAATCATTATTGAGAAAAAATTTTTTTGGTCATAAGCACCTTTTTCTCAGACGCGGTCACAAACACTAACTTAAAAAGATAAACTAAAAAATTGTAGAACGTCCCATATACATTGACTTAATAAAATGATTTTATCACATCTTAGTTATCAAATTTGGTTTGATTTCTGTACCCTATATTGAACAAAGTTAAAAATTCTTTAAAAAATTTAACTTAATAATTAAATATGTAATTTCACTTTAAATGTTTTTTTAAGTTTAAATAACTATTAATTGAAATCTTTCTTAATAAAAATAGAAAATCTCGTTATCTTAATCTTCATCCGATGATTCCTCAGGCACTGTTTTGGCCGTCTCTTGAGCAGTCAGTTTCTTTACCTTTTCTCTATAATAAAGCAATTAAATAATTGTTTTACAGTAAACATATAAATAAATATATATTTCAATGAAGGGGTTTCCTAAATTTTTTTGGTCAAAAAAATCGAATTTTTTTTTCTTCATTTTTTGATAGGAAAGTATGTTAAGAATGTGTGGTTAAATCATTAGATCGTAATTCGCTCAAAATCTTAAGTTATTTAACAAAATACATATATATATATATATATATATATATATATATATATATATATGCGTCTACAGATCGTATAATTAACCCTTTCGTGTCCACGATAAACCGAGCGAATGGATTTGCTTGAAATTCGTTACTCGGGGTGTTATTGGGGTCTCTGATTACGAATTTAATGTCAGATTTTAAAGATTCAAAATGGCGGATCCAATATGGCTGACAAGTTTTTTAAAAAGTGTTTAGATTGGCTCGAAATGTCCTACTCGGGGGTTTATGGGGTCGCTGATTACGAATCCGGTGTCCATTTTTCAAATTTCAAAATGGCGGATCCAATATGGCGGACGAGTTTTTAAAAAATGCTTGGATTTGCTTGAAATTTACTACTTGGGGGTTTTTGAGGTCGATGATTACAAATCTGAAGTCATATTTTAAAAATTCAAAATGGCGGATCCAAGATGACGGACAAATTTAAACAATGCTTGGATTGAATATGATGACAGAATTCGAAAATTCAAATATAAAAAAGGTTTTTTGGTTTGCTGATAATAAACCCGACATGGTCATGGACCCAGTACGGACAATTCATCATATTCATATCATTTCATCATTTTCGAGCAAATCCGATTAGTTTTAAAATTTTTCGTCCGCCATATTGGATCCGCCATTTTGAATTTTTAAATTCTGACATCATATTCGTAATCAGTGACCCCAAAAACCCCCGAGTACCAAGTTTCGAGTAAATGCAATTGATTTTTAACTTTCATGTCCGCTATATTGGATCCGCCATTTTGAATTTTTAAAATCTGACATCATATTCGTAATCAGCGACCCCAAAAACCCCTGAGTAAGAATTTTCAAGCTGATTTAGTTACTTCTGCTTGACTAATTATAACCTTTTGATATCAAAACTTTAAACGCTTTTTTCTCAAAACACTATATTTAAAAATGGTAACCAGTAGAACTCAAAAACCGTTTGACCGATTTCAAAAATTCAAGTTGCATTCGATTCAGTGGAAGTTTTTGCAGGCCCTAAACCTCTAATATATTTAAAATATTCAATAATCAGGTTTTTGTGAGTGATTGATTGTCAAAAAATGGTGTTTTTTCAGTTTTTTGGGTTCCAAAGCTTGCCATTTTTTTAATTTTTGATTTTTTTTAATATCTCGAGGTTTAGGACCTGTATTAGGTCTTAAACTTTAAAATCACGTTTGATTTTTTTATTTTAGATGATTCTGCGATGAGCTACAGTGGTTACCGTAAAGGACTTTGATTTTGACCAGTGTACATAGCGACCTCTGTAGAAGGAGCATAATAATATTTTTTAAGATCGCAATTTTTTTTTAAATAGTTCTTGACGTATATAGTAACATGTAAAAACTTTTGATCAATTATATTTTAAAACTTATGAGTACACGATCTTTTAAAAACCTTCTATTTTAGGGCAAAAAAATTTAGGAAACCCCTGAAATCAGACCTTTGTCTATATATTATTTTTAATTTTAAATCTTTGATGTAATTTGTCTAGAGTTGTGCAAAAAGCCAGAAAACTCATGTCGGGTTCGGACTACCCGAAAAGTCGATTACTAGAAAATTTTCGGGTTTTTGAAAACATACTCAAGTTAAAAAAAAATTGTTTTAAAAAATTTCGAGTACTAGATGTGTCGAAAAAGTTCAAGCTATTTTTCAGGTTTCAGTTAAAGTTAAAAAAAAAAAATTTTTAAATTAAAACATAGACAAAAAAATATTGTTAAAAATTCAAAAAAAAGTAGAGTATTTTCGAAATACCGGAAGTTGAATAAAATTATAATTCAGAAACAATTAAAATTAAAAAAAAAAAATTTCGAAAAATAAAAACTTGGAAAACCAACTTTTAGAAAAATTCCAGTTTAGATTTGCCAAAACTCAAATTTAGAAAAGCCAAAAGTCAGTAAAAACGGAATTCCAAAAAAATGACCATAAAAATCAAAATTAAGCAAAATCAATTTAAAAAAAAATTTAGTTTATATTTGCCAAAATTCAAATTTAGATGAGTAAAAAATCATGAAAATCGGAATTTAAATGAAAATGAGGTAGAGAAAAATGTAAATTTTGGAAAAATGAATACTAGACAATAAAAAATATGAAAAATGAAAAAAAGGGGAGATTTTTACAAATACCGGAAATTGAATAATATTGAAATCCTCAAACAATTGAAATTTAAAAAACTAAACTTGGAAGAATTAAAACTTAGATAAATCAATTTTCAGAAAAATTTCAGTTTAAATTCGGCAAAATTTAAATTTAGAAGAGTCGAAATTCAGAAAAATCGCAATTCCAATTAAAATGAATTAAAAAGAATGTAAATTTAGAAAAATTTAAAACTATCCAAAAAAAGTATAGTATTTGTTGTAAATACCAAAAACATGGAAAAAAGTCAGTCACTTCTTCAAATTTGTCAAAAATTTGCCATTTTCTAGGTTTCAAAAGTTAATTCCCTGACTTTTACAGGTTTTTTCAAGGTTCAAAAAAATTCCCTGACCATTTCAGGTTTTCCAGGTAACGTGGCAACCCTGATAAATATATTTTTAGTAAAATATAGACGAATGTAAAAGTAATTTTACATTTTTGTACAAAATTCAGAACACCTGTAAGAAATGTTTAAATTACAACGTGTTTAGCGAGTTATTATTATTTTTCAATTTCTGGATTTTTATGATATTAAAATAAAATTTTTTCGGACTTGTTTTCCCTTTAAAATAATTATTATAACTGTTCTACTGAAATGTGAACAAATTAAATCCTCAAATAATGCGTTTAAAATTTCCGCGTAAACATATGAAAACATATTTTTAAAAAATTCAACCAAAATCTAAACTTTTTTGGGTTGACCAAAAATTAGGACTGAAATAATTTGTTTTTTAATTTTAGTAAATATTCGAATTTGCATAAAACTTCTTATTTAGAGATTTTTAGGTTGCAGATTAGAAATCTCAACTTTGTTTTAAAAAATTTTAAGTGTCGGGTCCAATAATAATCAACACAAAAAAATTGTAAATACCATGTATCACAAAAACGATATTTTTTTCTAAATTTGTCTATCATATTAAATTTGACATTTTGAGCCCTCAGAATAGAAAATTATTTACTTATTTAATGAGATCAAATTTCTAGGACTTATAGCCTACTGATTAACTAATACAGAGAATTACAAAATTATATTCGTAATTAACGACTCCTCTCAAATAAATTGAAATTGCTGTATCTTTCAACGAATTTGTGAAATATTTTTCAAATAAATATTGTTCGTTTATGAAAAAATATTACCAATAGGGCGTCATTAGAATAGGTATACTGTATTTCAACTTATTATTTATAAATAAGTCAAAATGGGAAATTTTCTTTTTATTTACAGCAATTGACCTTAGCAAATAAATAGATAAATAACTAACTAACTAAATAATGTATAAATAATTATAAATCTTACGTTTTTCGATTTATTCGATTGCTGCACTGCGCCAACCAATCCTTGATCTATTTTTCAATGGATGAATCTTTTTCGTTGTTTAAAAGTTTTAAAGTGGTATCTGCAATAAAGAATCAGTTTGCTTATGTTAATTGTAATTAGAAAATTATATTTAAGATGTAGTGTTTTCATTATAAACTATAGTATTTTATTTACCAATGACTATTGTCTTTATGCGAAGATCTTTAAAACTTCGTTTTTTTGTTCGTCCATCAAATGAATATTTTCTTCCTACTTCGTCCGTTAATAAAATGCTAAGCATTCTTTTCACTGTGAGACTTAAATTTGTCAACGCCCTTAAGCGTTCTAGTGAAGAAATCTGTAGAGAAAATAAAAGTTGATTTAATTTTAATAACAATTTTAATAACAAATTAAATATCCTTTATAAAATAATTATTTTACATTTTTAATTTATGATTATTTTGTAAAAAATAATTAAGTAATGTTACGTGTAATAATTTTATAAAATAATTGCATGCCAAATCTTTTCTGAATCTTTTTGAAACCAATTTAGTTTCAAGGTTCATGAGCTCTTCGATACTCTTGACAGGGAACTGATGTTCCTCCCCAGGTTCCCCATAAAAACGGAATAAATTTAGTGGAACATCATTACTTGGTTGACCATTACTTTCTCTATTAGCTATTCTCTCGACCATAACACCAATTGTGTTTATTTTTGTAAACAAGAGAACATCTTTCTCATCCACTAAAAAATGAAAAAATTAAAGATGGAAATTAGTCGAATTTTACTGAAAAGTTTCCTATAAAAAAATATTCTCGCAGATTTCCACGCGGAATCCTCGTGTAGATTTGAGTAAGTTATCAAGGATTTTTTTGAGGAATCCTGGAGGATTATTTATTTTATGTTATCAATGTTCCTAAAAAAATCAGCAAATATTTTTTTTAATAATTTTCCTCGAGGATTTTTTTGCATTTTATTCATTTTACTCAAAGAACTGTCAATGATTTTTTTCAATTTAAAATTTTTCCTCAAGGAACTTCCGATGATTTTTTTTATTAATTTTCATCGAGGACTATATTTATTTTTTTTATTCCTTATGGGAAATGCTTAAAATTTTAAAACAAATCACTGAGAATTACTTGAAGAAAAATTAATAAAATTGCAAAAATTATGGAGGATTTCTCCATAAAATTTGATAAAATTTTAATTATATTATATATAATTAAAAAATTAAAGTCCATTTTTCTTACTTTCCAGTCTTTCGATATCTTCTTGCCTGTCTTCAAATCGGCTTATCTTTTGTCCGCGTTTAGGTGCGACAGATGCTGAAACAACCCAATTTTCAACTGTATTTGAAGGTCCGGCCTTTTGTTGAACACCCCCATTTTGAACTGCATTCGAAGGTCCGGCCTTTTGTTTAACACCCCCATTCTCAACTGCATCTGAAGGTCCGGCCTCAACTTTAAATTAAAAAGTTTTTCTATTTGTATTTTTAATACATAAAATTAATTTCACCGATTATTATTATTAAATATTCTTCATATTACAGACCGTTCAAAATTTATGCAAGCTAGGCTTAATAAGAAGTTGCTAAAAAATTGGATTATTTGTTGCACTTGTTATGCAATAAGAAACCTTCGTAAGAACATTTTATAGTTAATTAAATATTTTTGGAAACTAATTTTCTTCTAATTCCGAATTTTGATAAAGAATTGACTATAGAAGTGGTTATTATTGTTGTGCGTATACTTCTCTAGTTAACGGTATTTCACCCAGTAAAAATAAATAATTGAGAGTGAGGAAAAATAATTGGAAGTTAGCTTACTTTGTATTCGGTTTGGCGTCTAAACCGTGTAGGGACGTTACGGACAATTATTTTTTCTTACCCTGAATTCTTTTCACCTGGATTGATTGAATTGATGTTTGTTGATCAACGTTTGCATTACAAATGAATAGAATGCATGTTCCGAAGTATCAAAATGCCGATTTGCAATAAGAAATGTAAAATTTTATGAAAACGACAAAATGTTAAATATGACAGATTTATCGACAATTTTACCATGTGAGTAGTGTTCGTATGGTAAATTTATCATATGAACACTACTCACATGATAAAATTGTCGATAAATCTGTCATATTTCACATTTTGTCGTTTTCATAAAATTTCACATTTCGTATTCCAAATCGGCATTTCGACACTTTGGAACATGCATTCTATTCATTTGTAATGCAAACGTTGATCCACAAACATCAATTCAAACAATCCAGGTGAAAAGAATTCAGGGTAAGAAAAAATAATTGGTCGTAACGTCCCTACACGGTTTAGACGCCAAACCGAATACAAAGTAAGCTAACTCCCAATAATTTTTCCTTACTCTCAATTAGTTTTTTTTACTGGGCATTTATGTGGACAAATAATTATAGATTTAATTAAGTTGAAAATTTCCAAATAAGAAGTGTAGATAAAAATTTTTAAAATGGGTTACTTAGCATTATTTTTCATTATAATTTTTTTTGTTTCACAGAAAAACTTTTGTTCACGGTTTTCAAGTAATTTAAAATTTAAGCTTAACACCAAACAATATAATTTTTAATTTCATAAATTTTATAAACTAAAATAATTAGTAAAAAATGTTTCCTCCAGTGTGATTCTATAATTTATTGCATATTTAAATGAAAGTTTTCAAATCCTAACAATAATATCTTGCATATACAAAATTGTTTGCTAATTAAAAATTATTTTTAGTATTTCAAATAAATTTGTATAATAAAAATTTGACAATTAAAATGTATACTCAAGTTTGTCAAGAATCATAATTAGTTACTCTTTATAAAAATTGCACTGGTTGTTAAATTGTACAACTGTATGTTTTAAAATTTTGTGATTTAAATTTTAATTAATTTTTATTTGCTAATTTAAGAAGTCAAAATATCTATATTTTTAAAATTATGGTATCTTTATTTTATTTTCTTTTAATTAGATAAAATAAATATTGCAATTTGTTGTGAGAATTTTAAGAATTTGAAACTTACTATTTAGAGCGTCATTGGTATGTTGATCAACAATTTCGTTAGAAGATTCACTAGTGGAATTCTTTCCGTCACCAGTTTCATTGCCATTAGGTTCTGCTAACAAACTCAAATCTTGGTTAGCAATATCACTTCTAACTGTCTGTGCAGAAGAGTTTTCTGAAAAAGGGAGAAAAGATTACATAAATATATAATCAGAACTCTACAATAATAGACAAAAAATGCATGATACCTTATTTCTATCAACTAATAAATAAACTAGAATAAATATTTACCAATTGATTTTAAGGGAGTAAAATGGTTCTTCATAATCCTCTTTTCCATCTTCTGCTGAGGCGAAATTTTGATAGTCTTTCTTCCATCGAATGTGTCTAGATTTTTTCAATTTTTCGTCATTCTTCGCGTCATCACTTTCAATTTCTGAAAGTTCTTTAAGTATACTCAAAACTCTATATGAATTGTCCAAGTCACCTAAGAAAATTGTATACACTACCGTCCGAAATTGTGCGAACTCTGCTTTTTCAACAACTATAAAACTGTTCAAATCTTCAAAAATATTAAAACTAAAATTTTTTCCTCTTTATTTTATTAAAGTTAATAAAATTCTGAAAGAAATGACAACTTGACAAAGAGAATATGTTAATTTTTCAATTAGATATCTAAGAAAAACCCAATTTTCAATGTTTTTACTATTTTTTTTATTTCTCTGTCAAAAATTAATATTTTTAAACGTTCTTAGGCTCATTGAAATCGTATTTTGTTATGCAATTCAAATTATATAATACAATTCATGTACACATTCTTCCCTAGCGTATGAAAACCGTGAAAGTTGGTTCATAAAATGTCAAAAAATTGTGATTAATATTTATATGACAAAAAATGATCAGTAAAATGTATAAATCTTAAATTTACTTACATAAATCAGAGAAGTTTAGATTGATATATTTACCTGTATTTTTAAACATTATATTTTATTGTAGAATTAAATTTAAATTTTTTGACATTTTAGGAGCCAACTTTCACGGTTTGCATACGCTAAGGGAGAATGTGTACATGAATTGTTTTATATAATTTGAATTGCATAACAAAATACGATTTCAATGAGCCTAAGAACGTTTAAAAATATTAATTTTTGCCAGAGAAATAAAAAAAAATAGTAAAAACATTGAAAATTGGGCTTTTCTTAGATATCTAATTGAAAAATTAACATATTCTCTTTGTCAAGGTGTCATTTCTTGCAGAATTTTATTAACTTTAATAATATAAAGAGGAAAAAATTTTAGTTTTAAAATTTTTGAAGATTTGAACAGTTTTATAGTTGTTGAAAAAGCAGAGTTCGCACAATTTCGGACGGTAGTGTATATTTAAATTTTGCAACGTTTGATAAATATTTTAAATAAATAATGTTTGACATTACATGCACTTTTGTAATATTTTGCGGTATAGAGGCCCCACTGCTCCGGCATTGGACATTTTACAGTTTTTAATAATTTAGTTAATTTTGTTTTATCACAGGCCGGAGGAAAGTAAGCAGCCGTTACTTTTTCATTTTCGTCCCTGAGAACCCACTCGCATCTCACGACCTCAAGACCATCCTCAAATTCCACTACGTAAAATTCATCTTTTGAATTTGACATGTTTTATGAACTGAAAAAATATTGTAATTTTACATCAACTAACAATTATGACAATTAATTTGTATATACTATCAAGATTTGAGGTAAAGAATCGACGCCAAGTTAAAAAAAATCCGCGAATCCTAAAGCAAATAAAAAAAATAAAAAAATGCATATGGGATGTTCCACGTCAAGCGGACCAAAGCTCTGCCCAAAATTATACGCAATATAAATAAACTTATAATATATGAAAATGTTCGTACACATGTAAAGTTTCAAAAAATGAGTGGCAAATTAAAAACTTTATAATAATGTTTTTGTTATAACAATTATAAACCATCATAAATGGAAATGCGTAAGTAAAAAAATTTCTCATTTAAAGACAAAAATTTTAAATTCTAAAGTCATAGTTGTTTTTAATGTTTTCGGGGTCGCTGATTACGAATCTGATGTTAGAATTGAAAAATTAAAAATGGCGGATCTAATATGGCGACCGAATTTGAAAAAAATCGTCCATTTCGTTTGAAACTTGTTACTCGGGGGTTTTCGGGGTCGCTGATTACGAATCTAATGTCAGAAATAAGAAATTTAAAATGGCGAACTAAAAAAAACTATTAGAAATGTTTTAAACTTGTTACTCTGAGCTTTTTAAGTTGCCGATCACGAATTTGTCACCAGAGATTAAAGAGAAAAATATTAATAAAAAAATTATTTGTATGGATCTTGTAAATTATAGGTTTTCGTATTCAAAATATTTTTTGCAATTACTCATTACTACTCTAGTATTGGATAACTGCGAGTGGTGTGGTTGCATTTGAGTACCTAATACTACTAGCTTCTTATCTGAAGTAACTATGAATGAGTGTGCTGATTGGATTTTTGTAACAGAAGGAGCTTTGGAAAATCTTTTATTATATGAACGCTTAATTTTTTCATGGTCTTGTTTTGTATAATAGATAAATCGTGTCGTTTTAATGTGCTCTCTAGCCCATGTAAATAGACTAGTGACATTCAAAATAGCATCGAATCGATTGGTATATACAAAGTATAGATTGATTGACATTTGTGACCGTCCACGACAAAACAAGGTTTAGCTCCCAAAAAATCAATTTTGAGTTTTTGATGCTTATCGATAGATTTTAAGTTGCACTTTCACATGCAAAAGTCAGAAATTGTTTATGTCAATTACTTTTGACACTATAACGTTCTAAAGATGGGCATGTCAAGCGTGTTCCTTGTTTCTGCTTCTACTTCAATCGCTTGCCCTGTGAAATTTACTTTTGGGAGCTAAGCCTTGATTTGTCGTGGACGGTCACATTAAAAGAATTAATGAATGTTAAAAAAATCCAAATTTTACATTTTAGCTAAAAAATTTTGTGTTTTTTCAAATTCCAGTTAATAAATAAACTAATTGAATTCCTTGCATTAAAACGAATCGATTCGTATATATAATATAAAGTATATTTTACACCCAAAATGAACTGAAATTTTCTTAATTGAGTTGCCGGAAAGTAAAACCACACATAAAATTCTGACTCCCATTGAATTAACATGGCCATCAGAATTTTATGTGTGGTTTTACTTTCAGGCCACTCAATTTTCCAAAAATTGTTATTAATTTAAATCAATTTTTAACTCGAAATATTTTAATTCAATCAATTGAATTAAAAAAATTTATAGCTTTCTCCACGAGGAAGCAAATTTTTTGCTTTACACAATGAAGAAGCAAAATGTTTATGAAATAAACATAAAGGATCCCCTCTTTGTTTAAGTTTCAACATAATCAATTTCTTATTGCTGACATCAGATTTGTAATCAGCGACCCCGAAAACCCCCGAGTAACAAGTTTCAAGCGAATTAGACGATTTGTTTTTAATTCGGCCGCCATATTGGATCCGCCTTTTTGAATTTTTCAAGTCTGACATCAGATTCGTAATCAGCGATCCCGAGAACCCCCGAGTAACAAGTTTCAAACGAAATGGACGATTTTTTTCAAATTCGGTCGCCATATTAGATCCGCCATTTTTAATTTTTCAATTCTAACATCAGATTCGTAATCAGCGACCCCGAAAACATTAAAAACAACTATGACTTTAGAATTTAAAATTTTTGTCTTTAAATGAGAAATTTTTTTACTTACGCATTTCCATTTATGATGGTTTATAATTGTTATAACAAAAACATTATTATAAATTTTTTAATTTGCCACTCATTTTTTGAAACTTTATATGTGTACGAACATTTTCATATATTATAAGTTTATTTATATTGCGTATAATTTTGGGCAGAGCTTTGGTCCCCTTGACGTGGAACATCCCATATATTGAAAAATTCTTTATCGATTTCACTCAAAATTTTTTTGACGAGTAAAAAAATTTTTAAAAAATAACTCCTGTTAAAAAGATTTTAAGATGCTTAAGAAATCATGAAAATTAGTTTATAAAAAAAATTAAAAATAAATTTTTTTTTAATTTTTACTTACATCTGGATACCATCAATCTTTATTGATTCGTCTCAAATCCACATGTAATATGAAATGGGTTAAAATCTTATTATTGAATTAAGGATATTTTAATTTAAAAATAAGTTTTGAAATCTCAAAAAAAGGCATTTTTTATGCAAAAAGTTACGCCATGTAAAAATTGTATCAACTCTCAAAACTATTTGTAAAATAAAAGTTAGCCAAATAAAATGTGTGGCCAGTTTGGATTTTAATTATTTTCTTTAGTTATGTTTTTAAAATATACGTGTAATTTAGAAAAACAATAAAATTGAGTGAATAATTTTTAAATAATAATCGAGATGTGAATATAGGCGATTTTTTAAGTCCTACAATTTTCCTTTAATCTGTTTATAGTATACGTACATCTAAAAAAATTAATCACGCAAAATTTCTAAATATTTCCTATAACATATTTTTATTAATTAGAAAATCGATTTCAATTAATTATTTAAATAATTATTAAACTCCATTTCTTTTTTTTCAAAATTACATGTATATTTTGAAAATATAATTGAAAAAGCTAATTAAAACCTAAGCTGATATTACAAACAAATTGTTTTAAGAGTTGAGACAATTTTTAATTTTTAATAAATTTAATTTAATTTCATCAAAAAAATTCGATACAAAAAAATGCGCCAAATAATAATGATCTTAATAAAATTTTGTCAAGCAAAGTTTATTACTAGTTTAAATATTAATAATATAGTTTAATAATTAACTAAGTAATTAATGAAAATCAGTTGTATGACTGAAGAAAAAATCAGTATTGTAGTCAATTGAAAAAATACTAAAATCTATTATTAATATTTGAATTAGTATCAAAGCTGTTATTAATTGGATTTGAAAAATTTTCTTTTATAACTTTACAGGTTATAGGTAGATCTGGTAAATTATAGAATAAACAATTTTTTTTATAAAAAATTTAAAATTTCAAAATGTTTTTCATGAATCGAAATTTCCTGAATTATAAATTGAGAATTGAACCCAATTGACCTTGATTATAAGTTCCATAAGAAACAGTAAAAAATTATCGACTTTACCTGTTTCTAAACAAAAAGTAATTAACATTTTGGTTTTTTAAACCTAATTTTCTGAATTATTTAAGCATCTTAAAAAATAATTCAGATAAGTCATTTTTTGACTATTTTTTACCCTGAGGAAAAAAAATTAATTCTTGAAGAAATTATAAT